GCCGACACACGAGGAAAAAGTCACGCCACGAAGTTAACATAATAACAGAACAGGAGACATTAAACACATAGTTAATGCACTCGGTAAACACATATTAATACATTAAAGGCGACAACATATTAAACAAGGAAAAGAAATACCACATAAACAACACCCGCTGTAGACATACTTTGCGGCAACAAACATGTAGAGGAGTTAGTAGAATCAACATTCTTGGTAAGAATATATGGCGACAACAAACATGTAGAGGAGTTAGTAGAATCAACATTCTTGGTAAGAATATATGGCGACAACAAACATGTAGAGGAGTTAGTAGAATCAACATTCTTGGTAAGAATATATGGCGACAACAAACATGTAGAGGAGTTAGTAGAATCAACATTCTTGGTAAGAATATATGGCGACAACAAACATGTAGAGGAGTTAGTAGAATCAACATTCTTGGTAAGAATATATGGCGACAACAAACATGTAGAGGAGTTAGTAGAATCAACATTCTTGGTAAGAATATATGGCGACAACAAACATGTAGAGGAGTTAGTAGAATCAACATTCTTGGTAAGAATATATGGCGACAACAAACATGTAGAGGAGTTAGTAGAATCAACATTCTTGGTAAGAATATATGGCGACAACAAACATGTAGAGGAGTTAGTAGAATCAACATTCTTGGTAAGAATATATGGCGACAACAAACATGTAGAGGAGTTAGTAGAATCAACATTCTTGGTAAGAATATATGGCGACAACAAACATGTAGAGGAGTTAGTAGAATCAACATTCTTGGTAAGAATATATGGCGACAACAAACATGTAGAGGAGTTAGTAGAATCAACATTCTTGGTAAGAATATATGGCGACAACAAACATGTAGAGGAGTTAGTAGAATCAACATTCTTGGTAAGAATATATGGCGACAACAAACATGTAGAGGAGTTAGTAGAATCAACATTCTTGGTAAGAATATATGGCGACAACAAACATGTAGAGGAGTTAGTAGAATCAACATTCTTGGTAAGAATATATGGCGACAACAAACATGTAGAGGAGTTAGTAGAATCAACATTCTTGGTAAGAATATATGGCGACAACAAACATGTAGAGGAGTTAGTAGAATCAACATTCTTGGTAAGAATATATGGCGACAACAAACATGTAGAGGAGTTAGTAGAATCAACATTCTTGGTAAGAATATATGGCGACAACAAACATGTAGAGGAGTTAGTAGAATCAACATTCTTGGTAAGAATATATGGCGACAACAAACATGTAGAGGAGTTAGTAGAATCAACATTCTTGGTAAGAATATATGGCGACAACAAACATGTAGAGGAGTTAGTAGAATCAACATTCTTGGTAAGAATATATGGCGACAACAAACATGTAGAGGAGTTAGTAGAATCAACATTCTTGGTAAGAATATATGGCGACAACAATCAAGAAGAGAAAATACCACAGAGACAACACTCTCTGCAGGCAAATTTATTACAACAAAACATGGGAAAATATATACCAGATGCGACAACAAAGGAGAAAAAAACCCACTCGAAAACAAACAATGTGAACAATTGGCAGAATCAACACAAACGGAGAATATAATAGGACAGCGACAGCAAACAAAGAGAAAGAACCGGGACAACACTTAGGGAAAATAAACAAAATGTGAAACACACAAGCATGCGTACAATGAGATTTGTCCTAGTCTAAGATTTCCCATAGACAATACATTGCGTGAGATTTTCCTCAATTTTGAGAGGTTTTATATAAGTGGCCCCAGACACTCAATCTTCCATCATCTTGTTTTAAAAATGTAAATATATTCAAAATGCAAATTGTTTTTAAAAGCAGTACACACTGTAGTGTAAACCTGCCTGTACGTTGAAAAAAAGTTGCGACCTAATAGAAGGTGAGTTCTCAGAACATGTCCGATTTTTCTACTTAAAAACATTTTAGCGATCAACGGATGCACTGAAGCAAAAGATAATATATCAGAGTGTTATAAAATGCTAAAACTCCACTCTAGAAAAACACCTATATTAAAGTACAGTGTTTGCAAGGTGACTGAAGCCGGCAATCGGGACGTTCAGTCGACGACGAGTTTGAATTTATGGACCCATGATATCGGTTAAGAAGCCTTTAAAGATTAATAATAATCTAAACTAAATAAGTTTGAAATTGGGTAAAAAAAATCCAACAATACGACCTTCTGACTATACAATTCGAGAAAGCCTAAGTTTATAAAAGTAAAAAAAAATATTTGTCGATGAACAATTTCAGTTGTTCAAAGCCTTGTTAGCTTACTGACAACAATACGCAAACTTTAAACAAGTAAATTTTCATAAATATCGAAACTCAGTATAAAAGTTGTATGTGTAAGGATTCCGAATCGTCATCTTATATTAAAGTTGCAATCACATGTGTGCGCAAACACAAAAAAAAAAAAAAAATTGTAAAGTCTTCGGTAGTTCTCATACATCACATTTTGAAAATTTGGATTTAAGCTTGTTAAGCTTGTCATGCATTGATCCTGAACAACCAGGACTCAAGCTTTTTTTGTGACGTCTTGATACGGCCAAATAAGATCTTGAGTAGCCTCCATGTACTACTGTACGTTCAACAATCATCAGATACATGTAGATGATCAAAGTGTTACGGATCACAATGTCTATTTGCATGCTTTGGGAAAAAGTACCATATATCAGGGACGTATAATAGATTTACTGTCACTGCATATATGTTTTAAGAGCCGTGAAATACGAGCTCAGAGGATCTTTTTGAGCATTTTGTGTTCAAAACCATCACCAAAATACCTTAAAAGTGATTACAACTCAAAGTTGTATCCCCAGACATGTTCATTGATTGACTACATCTCTGCTGGTTCGGAGAAATAATTAATTAATCTGCAGTATCCCTCTGCATTATCCACGAGCATTTGTTTCTGTCAATAAACAAGAGGCCCAATGGGCCTGCATCGCTCACCTGGTATTAATCTCACACTTGTAATCTTAAAAGTGGACTAAAATACAGCAACAGGCAGAATATCAGTGTTTGATTCATAAGAACCTATTAAAAGATTTAAACATATGACGCCTGTGACCTTGAATGTCGAACAAGGACATTAGGTTGAAAGTGGGTCAAGAACATTCATTTGAGCAAACTTGGTAGCCCTTCATCCCAGCATGCTACAGGCCCAATATCAGTATCCTGGGCCGTTTGGTTATAGACAAGTGGTTTGAAGATTTTAAGACATATGACCCCAGTGACCTTGAAAGTTCGTCAAGGTCATTCATTTGAACAAACTTGGAGGCCCTTCATCCCAGCATGCTACAGGCCAAATATCATCAGCATGGGCCTCTTGGTTATTGAGAAGAAGTTGTTTAAAGATTTTAACATATTTGACCCCCGTGACCTTGAAAATTGATGAAGGTCATTTATTTGAACAAACTTGGTAGCCCTTCATCCAAGCATGCTTCTGGTCAAACTTTTGGTTACTGAGAAGAAGTTGTTTAAAGTAAAAAGTTAACGCCGGACGGATGCCGGATGGACAGACGACGGACGGACGACGCACCATGCCATAAGCTCACTTGGCCCTTTGGGCCAGGTGAGCTAAAAATAGTCCAGAGAAAAATAAATTACGGTGTGCAATTAGGGTATGATTTTTTTTTCTCAGGACTATTTTTTGTGATTACTACTTTTTATTGACAGTAACAAATGCCTGTGGCATTATCTCATGAGGTGGTCACTGCAGCATCAAATGTTTCTTGTCTTCTACTAAGCGGACATTGGAGAAACCAAACTGGATCTGCTGCCCCAACTCCTGCTGTTGGATTAGGCTTCTCTGCTCTAGCTGATCTACTCTTTCTTTCCTGTGGTGTTTCCATAGGTAGCTCACTGGTTTTATGATCGGGTGAAGTGTCATTCTGTCCGTATGATATTATTTACTTAGTTATTTATACAAACACAATCGCTGACGGACTGTCGGCTTAGTTACCGGTAATGTTTTGAACAAGGCGTCGTAGGAACTGGCTAAACATACTTGTTAAAGCCCTCTGCTTGCAGGATTTGGAGCTCCCCTTTATCAAGTTTTTTATTTTACATTATAATGTTGCAACCTCATCAATATCTATCTGAATAGTCCACATGTACCCATCTTTCAGTTACTGTACGGATACAGATTTTTGCGAGATTATATGTTCGTTAATTTCTACCTGGATTTTCTTCCCAATGAACTCAATAACTCTTGAGACATTACGTATAAATATGGTACATTCTGTATTTCAGTGAGATAGCACTATAAAGTCGGCATCACATCCGCAAATACTGTACACCATCATAGGCCTCCAGTTCAAACGCATACATGACCTTGGTTGTTAGAAGGATGCTTAACCCTGTTAACTGCCATGTACAATATCAAATTTCAGAACCCATAGTTGTTAATGGTTTGCATTCAATATTCTATCTTATATGGGTTTTTTCAAGAAAAAACTCCTCTCAATACTAATATGTTCCTCATTTACCCAATTTTCTTGAATGTTCCTTTGGGAAAACCCTCAATTTCCTCCACAGGAAACTTCAATTATTGGAGTCCAATACAAAAAATGTATGGAAATTTTCCCGTCTTCAGTTACCTGGTATGTGTTCACATGAAAAATTAAGTTGTTTTTTTAAGTTCACGACGGTTCCTGAAACTTGGATCAGAAAACTTTGGCTTTTTTGTGACATTTTAACAATTTGCCCTTTGGACAACCTTTTGAATTAAGGGCTAGTCTTCTAAATTTTGAGGCAAATGAAGGTCAACCTTTCATATTTAGGGCGTATTTCTGACAACACTTTAAACCAAGGATCTTAGCTAGACAAACCAGTAAAATAAGGACCTTTTTATGACAATACTTATAATTGGAGACATTAAATCATGTCCTTACGATTCTCGATATATGCTGTTGAAACTGATCTTGTGATTTAAAGTGATAACAGACTCAAACAAAACAATACAAAAAAAATGCTTTTTCATTGTCAAGTTTTATTTAATTTTATTCAAACTAAAGAACAGAGGCATCTATCAGCATGTTTGTCTTATTTTTAAGTGTCACTCTCATACAATTGTTCAAACCTTATAATGGACCATTGAAAGGGCAACTGAAACTTATCCATTAATATACTGGTAGCTTATTCCTATAAGTTCTATTTAAAGTGACCTGAAATCATAAGGACCTACAGTTGCATTGGTATTTTCATATTTTGCGATTACATTTAATTTGCCCGATTTGAATATTGACTCTCGATCCTGTTATAAATATTAACACCACAGGTCAATGTGCTCTGCTTATTCAAAGAAAAATTGCCTAATGAATATTCAACTTATAATTACTTGATGAATATTCAACAAATAACTACTTGACGAATATTCAACTAATAATTACTATTTAATGGATATTCAACAAAATTTCACCTGCATTACCTCACTTTACACTTGTGTTTAATAGGAGCCTGATAAACACTCTGCCAGAGTGATAAAGTTATGCATGACCAGAGAAATTCTGAATATTCATGGCATATTGACCCTTTGGCATCCATGAGACAAGAAGATGGCAATTTGATAAGATGAAAGTTTCCTTAATATAAACCTTATCTCTTGTATTGCTCGTATTAATGAATCTTCCTACCCCCAATACATTTAAAATAGAAGTCCCCCGCCCATGTCTCTTGTCTGTTTCTGCTCCTGTAATCATTGGAGATTATTCCTCTGTAGTACCTCTTCACCACATTTACATATTATCACAGTGGTATCTAGCACATGTCTCTACAACCCTCACTCCCCTTTCAAATAGTGGAGGGTTCCAGGGTCCTTTGATGTGAACCTGTCCACTGTGGATCACAGGGTAGAGAGATTAATATCAGAACAAGCAACAGTTAACACACACCTCCATACACACTGGTCAGTATCAGACTTGGTCAGTCTCCGACCCAGTCAGTCGCTCCTCATCTGTCCACCTCACCAAACACTATGTCCATGGTACCTGGTGGTCAAACAAAATTAATTTCATTCAATAATTTTCACAATAAACAACCAGCAGAACTGGTTTTTACCTTTAAATCATAATAACCTATGTTGAAATCTTATCCAAGTAACCTTTCCAAGTTGATAGAAAATTACTTGCGCCTAATCGGATGCCTAATCGGATCTCACCCGTTGACCCTCCCCTTTCATAGTCGTTTTGTTGTTCCACATAGAAGTTGGGTATTATGTTGAAAGAAAAATTACGAAACAGATTTTATCAGCTTATAGTAATCACTCTTGTTGGTCTGAATGGAAATACACAAGGGGTCTTAATTTGGGAGGAATCCAAAAATCTTATCCAGGTAACCTCTCTAAGTTACTAGAAAATTACTTTAACACAGAGGAATTGAACATTTGTAAAGGCTTTTCACCCATTATGGTCCATGTGTATGTTAACCTTTGATTTAAACACAACATATATATAGGATCTTACATGAGTTTCCATTTCATATGAGATTTATGAAACGATTCTAATACTTTTTCAATTTGACCTAAGAAAATACTACCACTGCCAGTACCCACAGTAAACTAAAGTGCCATGACTCTAGATATCATTGGTCTGTAGGTGATATTGTTTGAAGATTTTAACATTTTTGACTCAAGTAGTTCGACAGTATGTCAAGGTGACAAACACTATAGCACTTCCCCCTGGCCTAAAATCATGGCTCTTGAAGATTCAGTTCTAAAGAATATGCTAAATGAAAAAATTCACAGGATTACAGAAACCACACTAAAGTTTGACTTTCAATTCTAAAGAAGATGCTGTTCAATGAAAATATTCACAGGATTACAAATGCAACACTAAGGTCGGGTCCAAATGTTCTGGGTTTTTTTATAACAATGAGATACTGTATACCAGGAAATGCCTGCTGCAGTTTAACTTTCACCACTGTAGACCATAATGGACTCATCCAGATCTATGCATGGTAGAGTCTACTTAAGTTACATAGGGGCGAAAAGGTTAACTTTCGCCTTTCTTGCCCTCCTCAATGAGGGTGAATTTATCATGACAGTATACAATTGTTTGTAGCGGCCTCGGGCAAACAGTTCCCCAGGGCTTCCCCCTACCTCGGGATGATAGTTTTGACTGTTCCCCAAATAACCATGAAACAATTGTTTTATTACCAAATGAATATTAGTATCAATGTTGCATGCAATGTTGCCATTGCTTCCACACTGAGTCGCGGTCACCAAAACGCTTGAACGGGGCTCTTGAGGGGGGATTTCTGCGCATCAATTCAAGCCGGGAAACAGTTCGCTCTGACTGGGAAAACAGTTTTGACTGTTTTACCCCTACAGCCGAAATTGGACAAAAGGCCAGAAACAGTCAAAAATGACTAATTATAATTTATATAGACTATTGGGTAATAATGAATATTACTCAACAACATAATATGCATAGTAATTAAATGTGAAGGGGGAAATCAACACTGGGAGAACATGGATTATTCTGGTGAAGGGCGAAAGATTGACTGGGCGAGAATTTTTAAGTATACAGTAAATGTAACGTACCAATAATGGCGACGACATCGGCCAACATATGTCTCTTACTGACTGCATCCAACGCCGCCTACAAATCAACCAACAGATTAGCACAACTTTAAGACTCTGGAAACACAAAATGTTCCGGGGGAGGGGGGTGGGGGTTGGACGTGAACATTTTGATTTTGCATAATGCTATATAGTTAATAGTCCTTACAAACTCTGTGAACAGGAAGGCGTTGATTTTTTTCTGCAAGGGCCAGGGTAATGGTACAGTATCCAATTTGTTTAGTGCCCAGAGTTAGATTTACAGAGGAGCATTAACATTCAAGTTGTCTTGATCGTCTTCGTTCCCAGCAAATGAGGCTGGATCAGGATAATGTATAACATGAAATGTTCGTTTGACATAAACATTCATAGTTTTTGTGGTCTATTGAACCACGAAAATAAATACAACAAATTTGAATGATATACATGTCTACTGTTTGTTAATATAGGATATCCACGAAAGTTTGAACCACCAAACGATCTAAATAGCTTCCAACCACAAAGGAAAGTACCCACGAACATTTCATGTTATACAGTATAGCTACCAGTTAATTCTGACACTTTTTAAAAGAATTCCACGGGAGTGGATGTGTCGCCTGTTCAGTGCTTTTAGTAAGAAAAGTATTTTGGCTTGAGTTATCACGTAAACAGATGTGCCAAAATGCAGAAAGTTAAAACTTGACAGAAAATAAAGTAATATATGTTGAACATTATTGCTTCTAGCATTACCATACAAAGTTTGAAAGGAATTAATTAAAAAATTAAAAAAGTTTTTGCGTTTGCTACACAATGCCCTTATTTGGCAATAAAAAAAGGGCATAACTCCACCAAAACTGCACGTAAACTTCTGAAATGCGTTCTTGTCTGAGCTATATTGGTATGCAATATGTGTACTAAGTTTGAGATCAATCAACCCAAGGGAACTCAAGTTAACGAACGGAAACCTTGTTTCAGAAGACGACGCAACCATCGACACCGACAAAGTAATACCTATATGTAACCTGGCTTTGCAGACGACACAAAAAGGCCAATCTGTCCCTGAAAACTTGGGCTTGAAGGTGACTGGACAAACGAAGCCGGATCAATCTTTTGACTGGTACATGATGTAGAGGTTAGTATAATTATATCATGAATGTTTACAGACTTACCAGATGTGCGAATCCAGGGGCCCTGATTTTACATCTGTAAGGCTTGTTTGTACCGTCCGATACCAAATACACTCCAAACTCGCCCTAGTGAAGGAAATAACACCGATTACACAATTATCAGTTAAATATAGTCCATCAATTATAAACAACTTTATAGACTAATATATATCTTGTATGATTATCTGTTTGATAATAACAGTAAATTTTGAAATAAATTTATCAAATATAACTATTTGGAAGCTTTGAATCTGTATATTTGTATTTTCCATTAATTAAATACTGAACACAAACAGTCCTTAAAAAGACGCAATGGAAGGGTTTCAAGGCAACGAGGTTGAAATTTTCTCCATATAAATATTGTAAAGGCAGAATGATACCAGTTCCAAGTATTTTGTGATAAGGAACGGCAGACTTTGTCATTTTTGAGGTTTCCTCAACATTGAATCTATCATTCAATCAGCTTTTTAAGTTTTGTATCAATATTTTATTTTTTATTTTTTGAAAGAATTATTGATTATTTTCCATCGACAAACAAACACTACTTGCGTAGGTTAAAAAGCACTGCTAGCATTGGCAAGGTGACAGCTAGAATTCTTAGATAAGCACAGAAACAAAAAGGAAATAATTATAATGTAATTTCTTGAACTAGAGTTTGTGCTTCAGCATATTAATAGATTTTGAACAGAAGAATAGTTTTATGAATACAGGGTCCGTTGTCGGAATAATATTGCATTAATTTTTTATTGTTTTAAACTACTGGTTAGTGGTTTCTTTTCGAAAAAATATTTTACTATTTTGGAACCCTCAGGGTACACATGGAATATGTCTTATTTTGGGTGGTCTTTGTATAATTTTCAATTCGCTGTTGTCAGGTTGTAAAAATCTAAACAAATAAAACCACAAATCTGACCTTGGGGGCCTCTATAGCCGTGTAAGTGGAACCGGGTGGTACACGCATACCCTCAGAGTATAGCTTGAAATGGTGTATAAGGGCCTCCATAGACGACTGAAAATAAAGTAGAAGATACTTTAATAAAAAGGGATATCAAATGTACTTATTCATCCGAAGTGTTAAATCTGAATCGAGTCATTTCGGTACATATATAACAACTATTTGTACATACGCTTACATTGCAGCCGAATCGACAGTGCTTTGTGGCCAACTCGAACATATTTTACACCTTTGTGTACATATGCTTCACTGGTCATTTGTCTGATGAAGGTGACAGAGTACATACCATACTAGTCAATAAAACGTCACATATAAACACTTCTTGGTTGTGCTACATGAATCTTTTCACAATCAACTGTACATAATTTTATGTATATCCTCTCATGAAATAGCAGAACATAACATTTACATGTAGTTTTAAATTAGTATATTAACATAACACAGTCACATATTTCAAACACAATAATGATAAACAAAAAACAAGTTTAAATTACAATGCTTGTAACCCAGCCAAGTTGACTGATATACATCAAAGAGCTTTTGCAAGGGAGATAACTGCTTAACAAAAAATCATGAAATGTCCTTAACAAGACAAGGATGAGAAGTACCTTCATCTCAGCTCGACTTGGGGGTACAATCTTGTTGTCATCCACCTTGATCTCGCCTTCAGGCATCTGGTTCATACACTGATGGATAATTCTCAAGCTCTGTCTCATTTCCTCCAGTCGAATTAAATATCTACAGGAGACAAATAAACCTGTATTCATAGGACAAAAAGGACACAGGAAAGAAACACAGGAATTACTTTGTTTACCTACAGGCAATAAAACTGTTTTATATAGGACACAGGCAATAAAACTGTTTTATATAGGACACAGGCAATAAAACTGTTTTATATAGGACACAGGCAATAAAACTCTTTTATATAGGACACAGGCAATAAAACTCTGTTGTATATAGGACACAGGCAATAAAACTGTTTTATATAGGACACAGGCAATAAAACTGTTTTATATAGGACACAGGCAATAAAACTGTTTTATATAGGACACAGGCAATAAAACTCTGTTGTATATAGGACACAGGCAATAAAACTGTTTTATATAGGACACAGGCAATAAAACTGTTTTATATAGGACACAGGCAATAAAACTGTTTTATATAGGACACAGGCAATAAAACTCTGTTGTATATAGGACACAGGCAATAAAACTGTTTTATATAGGACACAGGCAATAAAACTGTTTTATATAGGACACAGGCAATAAAACTCTGTTGTATATAGGACACAGGCAATAAAACTGTTTTATATAGGACACAGGCAATAAAACTGTTTTATATAGGACACAGGCAATAAAACTCTGTTGTATATAGGACACAGGCAATAAAACTGTTTTATATAGGACACAGGCAATAAAACTCTGTTTTATATAGGACACAGGCAATAAAACTGTTTTATATAGGACACAGGCAATAAAACTCTGTTGTATATAGGACACAGGCAATAAAACTGTTTTATATAGGACACAGGCAATAAAACTCTGTTGTATATAGGACATAGGCAATAAAACTGTTTTATATAGGACACAGGCAATAAAACTCTGTTTTATATAGGACACTAAGGGAAAATACAAAAATAAAATGTTTACAAGAGACAATTATTTTTTTCAGGACAAACAGCACATAAATGACAGTACAAGGAGGCACAGTAGTCTACTGGTAGGACACCAGGCTCGTGACTGAAGGGTTGCGGCTTTAAGTCGTGGCACGGCATTGGATTGTATCTTTGAGGAAGATACTTTACTCTGCTTGTTCCAGTCTACGTAGCTGTAAATGAGTACAAGGTTGGGCAGTACTAGAATTGTTGAATGCTAGCTGTGAGCGCCGAAATGGCAGCACTGGCTGTAAGCTCCCTAGGGAGTTGAGAAAGATATTGGCTGGTTGTAAAGGCCATATTTCCACATATAATAATTTGTGAACCGCTTTGAGACCAACTGAGAACTCGGTTGTGATAAAGTGGTATATGAGAACCTCAAACTATTACTATTATTATTACATATGGAAAATACAGAAACGATGTAAATATACTGGTGAAAAAATATACTGTTAGCTAAAGGACAAACAGTACACAGGGAAAATACAGAAAAAGAATGAACGTAATATACTGGTGACAAAAACTATTGTTAACAGTGCAAAACATTTACATTACTTCATAGTAAATATGAGACAATGTATGTAAATGGTTTGCGTTCATACTGGCAAGAACATTAAAAAATACTGTTCAATCTTATTTTATACAGAAATAGTATTTACATCCTAAATTTCTAGCTTTCTTTGACCTAAACAAGAAGATACTGTCATTGATATCCCACACTTGCAGCGCAAAAGTCATTAAAAAACATTAAGCACAAAATATAGGTCAAAATCAGCATCCGCAATATGCATTCAGTAGAGCAACCCTAGATACACAATTGATGTAAGTATAATCAACATAGCACTTGTAGTATGCAAGATATAGATGAGAGCAATTCTTCTTGACCAGGTGCATTGACGGACGAACGTACGCACGGACAGAACCCATTTCTATATCCCCGGCCAACTCGTTTCCTTATATTTTTGATATGGAAGTGTCTCTGTCGTAAGTGCAAACGAGATTCCTGGAGCAGCCTAACATCACCAAAATGTTTGCTTTTAACGATTGTCTTATGTTAATCAAGGATTGAGTAGGAACTTCAAAATGATGCTGATCCAATTGCATTCATATGAATGAAATGTCTTAATGTTATGCTTATGGAAGAACTTGCAGTGGAAACATAAATATATCTAAATGACATGTTTCCCTCGAGACCTACCTGTCATAACAATCACCAGTCGTACCGATGGGAATGTCAAAGTCGACCAGATGATAGGCATCATACGGCTGTGTCTTCCTCAAATCCCACTTGATACCCGAGCCACGCAACATCACACCGCTAGAGGAATTACAAAAGTTGTAGCATTATTTGACAGCGTACCACTGGAAGGATATAAGATTTGTACACTCAACAGACATTTAAAATCACACCAGTGAAGGATACAAGATCTGCACACTCAACAGACATTTAAAACCACACCAGTGAAGGATACAAGATTTGTACACTCAACAGACATTTAAAACCACACCAGTGAAGGATACAAGAATTAAAGAGACATTCATTTGGTTTTCTTTTCTAAAATGATTTATCATAGACATGTGTGAACAAACAGTTTCCAACGCTTAGGTGGTTCTTTTTTGTAGTGTTGGTAATATACACCCCTAGATCAAAAACCCACGATATGGCTTGACAATGAGTATGATTACCACTGACTGACGCATTGTTAAGGTTCCACAACACAAATCGAAAATTCAGTTTAATGTATAAGATGCTTGCCAAGAGTTACAGAGCTCAAACAGGTCATTACATTTATTGAATTGCATTTTATTGGTAATTTACTAAAATATCAGTCATAACTTTAGCTGGACCTCGGTCTACCACACACACTAGATTGAGTAGACCTTCATACTTTTCTGTAGACTAGTCTACAGGTCCATCGTTAGTGACAAACCCTGGGCGCTTACAGGGAGGGGGCGCTACAGTGAATATGGTAGCTTCCGTTCGCATTTCTACAGAACTCCAATAGATACGAGCTGACGTACGTATTACCAGGTATGGGCTGATCACTGCATGATCAGATATATTTCTTCACATCATCAGACTATACCTGAACCCAAAGTTTAGGGCATCCTCAGAAGAAACTATTCCGACATCTACCGTCCTCTGTTTCCAAATTCTGTTTTGTGTGAGGAGTTCCTCCACCTCGTCCAGTCTCTGGTTGAACTTTTCGATAAAGTCGTATATATCGTCCAAAAGTCCAAGGGGTAAATCCTGTTTAAGTTAATATATATCAATGGAACTTTTTATGAAAAACATTTCTTTATATCCAATATTTGGTATGTAATTAATTAATCAAGAAAAAATTAACATTGAGTAGATGGACTTGCCAGCAGGATTGTTCTAATTTCTAAAATGAAATTTTCAACCTTATTTTTTGTTTATAATTAACAATCAAATTTCTAACATACAGTTGTATATGTCAAATCTTTTCCTAAACTATGAAATAGGCAATACTTGTTATTAAAGAGGATATTTAAAGAAATATTTCTTCCTGAACGTAAAACATTGATTTTTTTTCAAATGTAGATATTTCACCTACAGGTATTCATATAGGCCAACTCATTAAATGTGATAAAGACTTCAGTCTCATTGTTGTAAAGTAAACAGTCAGTTCATCAAATTAAAATGCTTAATGATTAATAGGACCTACCTGAGACACGCCTCCTGGTCTGACATAGGCTGCATGCATTCTCGCTCCAGACACTCTCTCGTAGAACTCCATCATCTGTTATACAACAAGAGAATATATAAAACACAAACCTTATTTAATTTACAACGATAATGAAACCAAGTTATTTCAACTAATATTAATCACTCTTGTTGACACTGATGTTAGCTTGGGGGTCTTAGTGTGAGGGGGAAACCGGAGTACCCGGAGAAAACTCACGTGGTCGAGCAGGTGATCACCCCAATCTCACCCCTTTGGATTCTATCGATCTCACACCGGTAAAAGTGTGCATTCACCTGACCAGGGTAAAAGTGGGGATTCACCTGTCCAGGGTAAAAGTGTTGATACACCTGTCCAGGGTAAAAGTGTAGTTCACCTGTCCAGGGTAAAAGTGTGGATACACCTGTCCAGGGTAAAAGTGTTGATACACCTGTCCAGGGTAAAAGTGCAGTTCACCTGTCCAGGGTAAAAGTGTGCATACACCTGTCCAGGGTAAAAGTGTAGTTCACCTGTCAAGGGTAAAAATATTGATACACCTGTCCAGGGTAAAAGTGTAGTTCACCTGTCCAGGGTAAAAATGTTGATACACCTGTCCAGGGTAAAAGTGTAGTTCACCTGTCCAGGGTAAAAATATTGATACACCTGTCCAGGGTAAAAATATTGATACACCTGTCCAGGGTAAAAGTGTAGTTCACCTGTCCAGGGTAAAAATATTGATACACCTGTCCAGGGTAAAAGAATTGTGTAATCTCCAGCTGGACTAGTGATACTTAAATCACTAGTCAGACTGACTAGTCAAAATTTGATATCAATTATCATATTCAATAATATTGGGTTGGTGAAATTTGCACATGGACTAGTTATAATTGGAAACTCCTACCCCGATTGACTAGTGATATTTAAAATCAATTTCTTGCCCTGCATTTATTTTAGGACTTGGTTGAAAACTATTCTGATATTTATGCTGCAAGATTTTCATACCTTTCAACTGATTATCCCCACTTGCATATGTATTTCAAATCTTTTTATAGGAATGAAATGTGCTGGAGACAAAAGATAGGGCTATAGCTATTAGCTAAATTATCTCTTTTAACACATCCCTATTATGAGATGCCAATATTCGTAATATTCTCCTCTCAAATAGCAAATGTCAGTAGATTCGATAATTTTTTTATTGAACTTGGTGCAGTCACAAGGTTTAAATATATTGGTGGATGATAACTGATGTAAGATTTAAAACACCCCCAATTCAAAGATAATGTAAGAGTACTTAATATCTTAGCGCATGCAAGTTTTAGCATAATATTGAATATTAACAGATAAGTGCGTTGATGAATTAGCGCACTCACAACATCTGCAACAGAAATCTATACAGAAACTATAATGAGTAGAAAGTTTAAAGTGTGAAAAGTGAAAAAATAAAATAGCGCTAAATTATCTACGTTACTGCACAGAATGTGCAATGATTGTCATGACCACAATTCAGTTCACAGAAGGCTGCGACGTACACACTTCAGTTCACAGAAGGCTGCGACGTACACATTTCAGTTCACAGAAGGCTGCGACGTACATACTTAAGTTCACAGAGGGCTGCGACGTAAACTGTAGGACAAGTGGCAGCCAAAAAGTAATGCTTTGGACAGACTTACGGGCAGACAACATGGTAACATTATTAGTTATACAGGTCTTTGGCAGGGTACATGGTCTCATGTTCGCTGTCAGGACCTTATGTACCCTGAACCGAAGNCGACGTACACATTTCAGTTCACAGAAGGCTGCGATGTACATACTTAAGTTCACAGAGGGCTGCGACGTAAACTGTAGGACAAGTGGCAGCCAAAAAGTAATGCTTTGGACAGACTTACGGGCAGACAACATGGTAACATTATTAGTTATACAGGTCTTTGGCAGGGTACATGGTCTCATGTTCGCTGTCAGGACCTTATGTACCCTGAGCCGAAGGGTACCTTGGCAATTCGACCAATCACCGTGCGACATTTTTCTTTGCAGTATGACAAAATAAACTGTCCTTTTTGCGGACTTTATCGCTGATCATTAACAAACCTTTTCTCTCTCCTCGAAAAGCCAGAAGAATGGTGTCATGGCGCCCACATCAAGTGCATGCGTACCCACACCCATGATGTGGTTTAGGATACGTGTAATCTCCCCAAACATCGCTGCAACGACAATTTGATCAATCAACATCTAACACATCTTTGATATCTTAAACATGCTTGTGAACTTTCTATCTTATATTGGCAGCAGATCATGAATTTGTTTCCATTTTAATCGAGCTATAAAGAAATGTTCAGGTTAGGTTTCAGTGGTGTACAATTCCACGGATCTGATGCCAGGGAAAATGATTGTGTCAGGGCTACACTTATAGTTAAAATGTTCAATGATTATAATGTAATATCAAAATCTGTCCGTTAGTAATCTAAACATGAAAATGTACATCCCCGAGGTTTGTACGGTTCATTATTATAGGATACAGAAACAGGAGGCCCAGTTGCCTAAATATTTCACCTGTACTTTAATTTACAGTTTGAAACCTGCTGAGTACCATACATCCACGTTTATCAAAACAATACAAGAAATATAAGCTGTAACAACCACTAAATCTCCAGAGGCTGAGAAGACACCAAAGCCATGAGTGTGTTGATTCCTTCATGACCAGTAGTTTTATTTTATATATTGCTATATGTGATGGGGATCTCAACAGTTTTCATGGTATATGACCCAAGAGGAGGTCCAGAGGGACCAAGCTAAATGATGGAGCCAAGCAGAAGTGTATTCATCCCTAGCGATTATATTCATAGCTATAATCATAATATGGGGGGGTTTAAACAGCTTCAATGTTATGACAAAGGGAAAAACACCCAGGGGTGGGGCTGGGCCCCTGATCCATTACTGGTAGCTTAAGTGCATTCTTCTGTTCATGTATAGCAATTACTTTAATGATAATAGGGTGGGAATCTCAACTGTTGATGAGCCAGGGAGCAAGTCCCAAGGGTTAGGGTTGGACCCCCTGGCCAATCCTGTTAGCATGATTTTCAATTCCTTTTCTTCATGCCTCGCAATTGTACATTCATGTATATATAGTTATTGGGCCAGGTAGGTTAACAAAATTACCCTTTTTATATATTTTTGAAAAAGAAGTGTTTTCCCAGATCATCACCAAGTTTAGTTTTCAAAGATGCTATCTAGATTTTGATGTCTGTGATGCCTGTCTACTGTCCTAATTCAGCATGATCCCACAAATGAATGGTTAGTTATAACAAAATAGAAATATGCCCACCCCCTACAGCTGTACCTTACATTATCCTGACAATACTCCAAGGGTTATGCTCACTTTTTTGCTCTCTGCATCCATAGCAAACTTGAAGGCACACAGCTAGCTATTTGATTGATCTCAGGTAAAAAAATCCTGACCAATCACTGGGCTGATATCGGTCCTTTGAAGATTACAGAAGAGCAACACCTGACTTCAAAGCCAGCCAATTTTACTGTTATGCAACCATCAGATTATTTTGATGTACATCAAAGGATCAAACTAGTCTTCTTGTCTCATTCAAAAGGTGGCACACACTCATCCTTCAATATTGCTATGACATATTCCAGGGTCCTGTAGAGGGCGAGAGTGAGCGTGACCCTTGGATATCGAGGATGTATATGCCATATTTTCCTGTGGTGCGGAGAGCTAGACATAACCCCTGGAGTATCGAGGATGACCTTGCATCAGAGTTCATGCCTTTAATCCCCAGTCTGACAGGTAAATACACAATCTGTGAGAACTATGTTGGTCGGTACTTACTACGTATATACTTGGCTCGTAAAGGTATCTCAATGTTGAGGAGTTTCTCTACAGCCAGCGAGAAACACTGTTCGTTACACATCATGGACACGTAGTCAAGACGATCAAAGTAAGGGAGTGCCTGGAGGTAGGTCTTGTATTCTATCAGCTTCTCTGTGCCTCGGTGCAGCAGGCCAATGTGGGGATCAGCTCTACCGACAGTCTACAATATAATGATACAACAATTTATCACGGTATTAGTGGAAACAGACCCCGAGTCTGATTTGAGATAGAACAGGAGATAATAAACAATTTTTAAATCTAAATGCTGATTAATTGTTAATACAGTAAAATGCACTGAATAATTATCTTAATATCCATATTTCTGAAGAGGTAGTTTTTATCTTATGTCCTATCAGTTAGTCAAAGACACCCAATTTGACCCCACACTAGGTGAAGCTGGAAACTGAACAATCAAAAAAAATATTTAATATGAATATAAATACAAATTTCACTCTTGTTTTTAATTAACTTGTGAGTTTTTTTAATGATAACAATGAAATGCAGTCTTACTTCTCCATCCATACTAAGCAGAAGTCGTAGCACGCCGTGGGCGGCCGGGTGTTGAGGTCCAAAGTTTACCTCCATACCTTTAATGCCCTTCTCTGTATAAACTGTGGTAGCTGTGGAAATATAGAATAATAAATAAGGTATCATCATATATACAATGTACATCTGAAAGGTATATTTCTCCCCAACAGTTTACAAGACTAAAACATTTCTATTTTTGCTACGGAAGAAAAGAAAAGTTTTGTCGGGAGACTGTAACATGTTATGACAATATAATACTTCAACTTATTTTTTTCAAAACATTTTCGTGACTTTGTATGACATCTATTTTTGATAGAGCTTAATATTCTGTTAGAGAATTATCAAGTGTGTCCTTTGGTAAAATTTAGATCTGTGGCTCTGTTATTGAGATATCACTTTTCATCCCAGCATAAAAGTTATACTTCAACGTCATTCCAATAGAAACGATGTTAATATTTTTCGTAAAAATAATTTAGGCCAATTAATATAATTCATCATGGTTAGAATTTTATGAAACAGATAATTATATCAATACTAGTATATCACCAACAGAAGCACTTGATTATTCTTTAACTGTATGCCACATTTCATCAATATTTGACTAAACAAAAAGTCAGGAAAATCAATTTTCTAAAATCACATTAACACATAATCCAAAGTGAGGAAATGTGAGACTTATGGCACGTCCTCGTACAATGTACAACCAGCTTGTACAGCATAGCCATCTCTCCTCTCCACAGAGACAGTCCGAACATTGTCTACTTGTGTGTTTACCAGTGTTTTCTCCAGGATGGGGGGGATTGTGTACACACACCCTCCCCATAAATTTCTATATTCTGCCTATATAACACTACCAATCCCCCCCCCCTCATTTCAAATCTGGATGTATATCATCAATTTTTTCAACATCATACTTTGCCTTTGTCTTGCTATTGTATTACAATGACCAAGTTTCATAAAAACAAATTCAATCATATTTGATTTACCTTTAAGGAAGTTTTCAAGCAGCAACCAATCAGAGCACAGTATAACATACAGATATCATTTCAGGATCCCTATCCCACTGCACTGTGGTTTTTGATATACACAGTAATAAGCTCCCTTTAACTCGTTTTCCCCTGAAGACGCATTTGGAATCCTCAAATTCAAAGGTTGGAATGGTCTATTAGGAAATTTCAGGGAGTTAACTTCTGTTTGGATATATAGGACTGTAGGACAGTTCAGCCAGCACACTTCCATTGACGGGGTAGCTCATAGATCAGTCAGTTAAAACTATATTACAACAATCTGAAGTCCAATGTTTGATCCTTGTCTAGCCCCATGAACTTCAAATTTCATTAATCCTTTAACACAGCCTTTGTATATATTACTCAATCGGTACTTCAAAAAGATCAAAATGATGTTCAAGCAAATCAAACAGCAGAAATCGAACAGTGTAAGAATGGGCACTTTGTCCGATACCATTATATGTGTGTCCCCTAAAATCAGTGACAGGTGTACATGAATAACAAAAAAAGGATTACTCACAGAAGTCTGGGGCAACCCAATTTTGGTCAGCCCCTTTATAGAAACCAATGGGTGACTTGAAATCTTTGATGACATCTTTATCAGGCACCCATTGGGCATTCCTGTCAACAAAATGGTAATATAAAACAATACATCAATGAAATATTTTATCTCACACAGATTCATTGTACCGGTACATATATTTAACTTATTCACCCCTACATATTTAAACTGGACATGTCCAGTCTTTGATTTGGTAAGGCTCAAATGTGACATTAGGGGTGAATGGGTTAATTTACTACATTTTGTACTTTAATTATGTATTTAATTATAATATAATATAGTCCTGTCCCTGTGTCAGTACTTTGATATTGGTAGCAAAAGCACTGTCACATGGCTCTACAATTTCTTATTTAAGTCATTCACCCCTGAACATTCATAATGAACTATTCCAATGTTTGAATTGGAGGTGTTCAAATATGTTTTCAGGGATGAATGAGTTAACTCATTGACCCTGAAATTTCACAATGAACTATTCCAACCTTTGCATTGGAAGGGTTCAAATGTGTCTTCAGGGGTCAATGAGTTAAAGCACTATTATTCAAACAGATTTTTAAAAAATCTACTTGCATTGCCTGAATATTGAAGTTGATGTATATTGACAGCGACCCATGTATGGGACAAAAGTTCTTTCAGATTAAAATGATGTACATGATGTATACATCCCCAACTGAAACATAGTTGATAAAAGTAAAAATGGAAATTGAGGTTTCTCAAATGCAACATCTTACCCTCCTCCTTTGTTACTGATGAGGATGCTCATTCTCAATGTATTTCATAGGGATTTACAGTCAAAGCTGAATAAGATTTTCATATCGCATATTGGTTGAGAATGAATGACACAAATTGTTAAATTTTCAAACAAGAAAAGCAGATGATCTACTTTTGAGTTTCTTGGTTTTAATGATAACCTATACGGGGGGGGGGCATCGTCACATCAACGGTAGTTTTCATAGAAGTTCAGCATCTTCCAGTTGATGGATTCTTTAAATATAATTCACTAGTCTGGCCATAGAAGTATAGAATCATGGATGAGAAGAGTTGACCATGAGAACATCAACTGGGATATCAGCAAGTTTAATCCAGTGTTTACATGTTTCGGCCCACTATGGTGGGCTGTCATCAGAATAAATGATAACCTACATGTATGTTTATAAGACCAGTCTGTAATCTTCTTGGACGAAAGATGAATGAGAAAATAAATAACATTGGCATGTACTTGTTAAATTTCTCCGTTTTATTACAAGACTGAAATATCTAATTCTTGTTTTAATTTGCTTACACTTGACGCAGGGCTAGTGCGATAGTCCGAGACTAGTGAAGTGACAAGTTGGACGAGTGGTTCTAAAAATCTAGTCCAAATTTAACATTGCTTATCTTGTTTACTTTTATCATTGGGTTTTAATAGTGGAATTTGCATATGGACCAGCTACTACTTAAACTGACTAATGGTGCTCAAAATTAATTTATCACACTGTTGACGACGGCACTCCATTCATTCACATCTAGGTATTAATTACCTAATTTCTATTATCAAAATTGTTGTAAGACTGAAGAGTCCAGTGTCAAATACACTGGTTTCAAGAGAGCATTTCTCTATGTTTTACCTTATTTTTATTTAGTATTTTACAAAGGTAGCAGAGTACAGTAGAAATGGCCTGATCCTTAAAATAAAGGGCATGTCTCAGATAAACATGGATAGTGGATTCCTCCTGCACAACACACCTACATATATATATATTTATAAACTAAATTTTGAATACATCTTTTTAGAAGAATGTTTTTTTTTCAAAAAGTGTTTTCCCCAGACTTGGGACTTGTGAAAACCATGGTTACCACATCAAAAAACACCAAAAAATGCAAAAAACATGATTTTTAACCAAAAATTTGACCCACACAAGCATTATTTTTTTTCTTAAAACCTGTCTTGAATTAAATATCACCTACTCGGTAACAGAAATACTCACGTTTAAGCATAGGTCGTTCAACTGGATTTTTCACAATATTTACACATGTGCTGAGTACAAAAATAGACTACATGAAAAGCTAGCTTTTGTTGTGTAGACAGAGTTTTGTAAATGGCCAAAAATGTAGTCTCAAACCAAATTTGATTTTTTTTTTTTTTAATATGAAGCCCACATAGTCCACTTCATCATGTATATGCCTAATTCCTGTAGGAACTCTATCTAAATCAGAGATTTATAATGTTATAAATCTCTGATTTAGATAGAGTTCCTACAGGAATTAGTATATGCCAATCTTAGTGCTTATTTTTTTTTAAATTTTGATATATGTAATATTACAGGGGTTATTCATTGTACAAAAATATCACCCATGGCCACCGTGCACTACTGTACACTGCTACCAAAATACAGCATATTTCCAGATCTGGTACGTTGTTGAGCTTGTTACAAGAAGAAAGTAGTGTGAAATACTAATTCATCCGTGGATCAAACCAGAGACCCAAGCCTGACACACCACTTGTTAACAGGGTTAGACACTGTCATTTTTTTCTTGAGTTCAAAGGACTAGTTTAATGTTTAATACATCTGTGGCAGATTTTAATGGTACATAGGAATAAGGTCACCTAGCTTCGGGCTAGAGGGAATTTCCTTTTAGCTCAGTGGTATAGCGTCGGACTAGGAACCTAGCGTTCACGGGTTGGATCCCCAGTGGAAGCACACTGTATATTCTCTTTCCTGTTACACATTATTTGCTTTTAAAAGCATTTAAAACTCTCACAATTGCGGTGGCCGGATTTCAGCAACAACAAATCCCTGTATTGTACAGTATAAGAGTAATAGTTGATAGCTGACAATACATGCAACTAGTCAGAATTATTGAGTCGACGAGATTTATCGGAAGGGGAAGCATCAGTCTGTAGGAATAAAAGGAGGTAATGACATGCTCGCGTTTCCAGCAGTTTACTAATTAGAGGCGCTCCGAAAGTAGTTCAGCATCTGTGTCCTACATAAACAAACGTCAAGCATCTCACCATTTGTACCGTGCTTCGACCAATATCAACATAAATTTATGCGGACAGACACTTCAATTTCGCAACATTTGTAACAGTTAAGAAGGGGTTTGACGTTTTACTCAAACATACTGTGTGTACTTGAGTATATTTGAGGAAAAATCCAAGCCGATACAGGGGGTAGTGGTTGATTTGCGGTGTTGGGTGTTCAAGGGCAAAGTTATACGGGGCAAAACAACGCTATACGCACTACAATTTGAAGTACCGGCAAATAATTGCAATATCAACTAATCGTCTTGTAATTTTCACCTGACAGAAACAGTAGCTGGTGTTGTTTTAAGTAAGGACCGACGAAAAGTCGACGCTGTCGTCTTTCGTAACAAACCCAACGCAGCCATTTTGACCGCCGGAAGTGGATTGTGAGAAACGGTGCATTCGCTTCGAGCACTGCTATTTAAAGGGAGGTAAACCATTTTGTAGCGCTACAACGAGTATTATTATATTACTGAATAGTTTGTTTTTTTCGAAATCTGATTTACAGTGTTGCTGTCTGGTGAGTTTCCGAAGACTTATCTTCATGTAACTTGAACTATTACCCGTTCTGGCAACATATATAGCTAATATAGATTTTATTCTGACAAATTAGGATTTTACGAAGCAGAGACGTATATAACGTACAATGGCTTTATACGTCTCTGTTGACAGTGAGTCCTGAATAACACAAATGATATCTCTGAAAGGAAAACATGCAAGTGAGACTAAAAAAAAAATATCATTAATTTTTTCTTACTATAGTTATAGTCGTTTTCCGGTACACGAACTACTGTAGTTCCTCTACACTGGACTTTATTATCCATACTAAAGTNTAGGACTTCCAGCCTGGCGGACCTCACCTGGACGTTCGACAACTATCCTGGTGAGTTGCCCTTTAGCTTGTAGAAATACAATAAGATATATTGTTCTAAGTGAATACAACTTGGATGGTTACAAAACTATACCTTTAAACATGTGTAAAGACTCGCCAGGTAGAGGCATGCCTATGTANGCCGAACCTGACAGACGTGTGCTGATAAGCCCGTACAGAACTTGACCGAACAACTCTTTCGTTTCCGCTAGGACTTCCAGCCTGGCGGACCTCACCTGGACGTTCGACAACTATCCTGGTGAGTTGCCCTTTAGCTTGTAGAAATACAATATTTCCNAACCAAACGTACTAGATCTGGTGTTCTTCAACGAGGAAGGGATGGTCAGTGATTTAGAAATTCAAGCTCCTATTGGCAAAAGTGACCACTCTGTCATACAATTTAAGATGAACGTCTATACAACAACAGAAAAGAAAGAAAAGAACAGATATATGTACGAGAAAGGAAACTACGAACGTATGAAAGAGGAAATTATGGCTATCAACTGAGAAGAAGAACTACAACCACTAGCAGGAGACGTGGACCTGCAGTGGACACTTTTTCGAGATAAACTAAAAGCATCCATTGATGTCTGTATCCCAATTCGAAGATCGACCAACGCCCAGCAGAAAAAACGTCAGGTGATCCCACTAGACAGAAAAACACCTACAAAAATAAAGCGTAAACAACGGCTATGAACTAAATACTTAAACACAAGAAGTGCAGAAACATACAATGAATAACACGAACCAAAGTATCAGATTTATATACCGGACAAGATCAGCAAGTCACAACAACCGGCAAAGAAAAAGCTGAGGTGTTGGGCAATTTCTTCACATCAGTATTTACGAAGGAAACAGAGGAGAACATGCCCCAGATTGACCGTATAACAGATGAAACAATAGATAATATAATGACAAACCCCAATATTGTATTCAAAACATTGGAAAAGCTCAAAACATCAAAGTTCCCAGGCCCAGACAACCTTCACCCGCGAGTGCTAAAGGAACTGAGCTCTGCTATTTGTCTGCCATTGTCAATTATCTTTGACACATCAATACACAACGGAACCGTTCCCGAAGATTGGAGACAATCAAGTCCCACCGCCATTTTCAAGAAGGGAGATCGTAAATCGGCCAGTAACTACAGACCCATCAGTTTAACGTGTATATGTTGCAAAGTATTAGAAACGATTGTAAGAGAAACAATAATCAAATACATGCATACCAATAAATTATTCAGCAAGAAACAACTTGGGTTTATCCAAGGAAGATCCACCGTATTATAATTAATTCAAATAATTGACCACTGGATGAAAATTCTTGATGCAGGAGGATGCATTGATGTGCTGTACTGTGACTTGATGAAAGCATTTGACAAGGTCCCTCACCACCGACTCGTCCATAAAATGAGCATGTACGGATTTACGGGTAAAATCACGAGCTGGATTAAGGCCTTTCTTCTAAATTGCAATCAACGCGTAACAATAAATGGAGACACGTCATGTTGGAAGGAGGTGAGCAGTGGTATTCCACAACGATCCGTCCTAGGACCAGTCCTGTTTGTTCTGTACATACATAAATGACCTCCCGAATATAACAAGTACGGAAACCAACACATACCTTTTCGCAGATGACATAAAATTCTACCGTGCTATATTTAACACCCAAGATTGCGAGGGCCTACAGGAAGACCTGCTGAAATCTCAATCATGGAACAAAAAGTGGCTTCTATTTTTCCACCCAGACAAATGCAAAACAATGCGAATTGGCAACAGTGATATTGACAACTTGACCTACAACCTAGATAATGGAAAGGAACTTCCCTATACAGAACATGATAAAGATATTGGAGTCACCATTGACAATAAATAAGCATTTAATGTACATATATCTGAAAAAATCAACAAAGCCAACTCTTTAATGGGTGTAATAAGGCGTACTATATGTGGAATACATGGATCTGACAACATTCACAGCTTTATACAAAGGATTCGTTAGACCACATCTAGAGTATGCCAACCAAGTCTGGAGCCCCCCATCTCATTTAACAGATAGAATCGATAGAAAATGTACAAAGGAGAGCTACCAAGCTAATACCTGGAATGGCTAATCTATCCTACCCCGAGAGACTGCAACGCCTGATATTACCAACATTGGCATATCGTAGAGCCGGAGGAGACATGATAGAACTATACAAAATCATGACCGAGAAGTATGATCCCGAGGTGTCGACTTTCATCACATCTAACAAGAACACCACCCCCACCAGAGGACACGAGCTCAAATTATGCAAACAAAGAACGCGCCTGAATATCCGGAAACATTCATTCCTTCACCGAACCGTGGATATATGGAACGACCTGCCATCGGAGGTCGTAATGTCACGAACAGTCCGAGCATTTGAACATAGCCTTGACCGTCATTGGAAGAACCAACCACTTGGGTATAACCACAGGGAAGCCATCGAAGTCACACATACTAATGGTCATTGATTGGACTTAAACGAAAATATCACATTTGAACATTTTAAAAATGCGATATACAATTAAGAGACACCCATATACGTACCAACATTTTTATACCACACTCATTCAATTCACAATGTTACTGTAATATAATTACTTATCATTGAACATCTGTTCTCTATGGAACTGTGCAGCTATCTGTAATGGACTCGCCAAAAAATACTCAGAAATCATGTTATTAATTAATATGTTTAACCAACTATATGTACTATTGTAACTTTTATAATTGAGCTGACAGCAGAGGAAATGGTACAATTTCCTACAGTCAGAATAAATTTGTGTATTTGTGTATCTGTGAATAGTTGATTTATAATTACAAAACATGTCCTGATTTTTCCATACTTCGTCCAGTGCATTTTTAAAAGTGTTTATGTTAGGGGACGATACTACGTTTCCTGGAAGGCTGTTCCAAAGTTTTGAAGTTCTGATAGTAAAATTGTTGCCCCTCAGGAATGTCCAAGATTGCTGTGGGAATATTGGTTTGGAGTTTCCTCGGTTGCTGTGCCTTGATGCCACATCTCTCCATAATTTTACAAAACTGCACGATTCTTTTATAAAGTTCAATCATATCCCCTCGCGCCCTTCTGTAAGAAAATGTTGGTATTTTTAGTTTTTGTAGTCTTTCTGAGTAGGGTAGATTATACATTTCTGGTAAACTCTTGGTTGCTCTGCGTTGTACAGCCTCGAGTCTATCGACATCATTCGCTTTAAATAGTCCGAAAATTTGATTAGCTTTTTTGATTTTCTCGCTTATGTGAATTTCGAAGTGAAGTTCCGAATTGATAATTACGCCAATATCGTTTTCCTTGTCAGATTTTTGGAGGTTGTTTCCTACTAGTTTATATGTCCCGTCAGGGTTTTCTGTGTTTTTCAGTTCCCGGCCGATGTGCATGTGTTTACATTTCTGTGGGTGCATTCTTAGAAGCCAAGTGAATCACCTCGTCCTCGCTCTTTTCTATTATTTTAAATATCTTAGTATCATCCGCGAACATTTACATACCCGAGTCTTCTTTATCTGGGAGATCATTACCAAATATAAACAAGAGATCCCAGAGGGATCTTGGCGCCCACCTTTGTACCATCTTCATTAGTTCTTTGTCAGTTCGATCTTTTCTCTTCTTTCCTCTAATCTGTTTGATCGAGTCATATTAACAGTAAATGCACCTTGAGGTAACTTTATACTGATGTGTATGAAAGCCAAACTTCAAAGTGAGTTTGTCATTTCACATATTTACTAGTACAGTACTTAATGTGAAAGAAATAGAATCGATCATTGCAATATGAGAAAGATCTGTTTAGTTCTTCTTTTAATCCATTTTGTTTTTATGATCAGTCTCAAAATATAACATACACAACGAGAGATCAAGGGGAACCTACATTTAAAATTTGAGAAAGATCCCTCCCGTACTTCCCGAGAAATAGCGATAACAAACTTTCACTATCAAAATCCAAGATGGCTGCCTGTCGGCCATGTTGTTTATCCGATCAGTCTCTAAAATTGCCCTGCACAGCTAGGACCAAGGGGAACCTACATATAAAATTTAAGAAAGATCCCTCTAGTTCTTCCGGAGAAATAGCGGTAACAAACCTACAATATCAAAACCAAAGATGGCTGCCTGTCGGCCATGTTGTTTATCCGATCAGTCTCAAAAAAATGCCCTGCACAGCTAAGGACCAAGGGGAACCTACATATAAAATTTGAGAAAGATCCCTCTAGTACTTCTTGAGAAATAGCGATAACAAACTTTCACTATCAAAATCCAAGATGGCTGCCTGTCGGCCATGTTGTTTATCCGATCAGTCTCAAAAGTTGCCCTGCACAGCTAAGGACCAAGGGGAACCTACATATAAAATTTGAGAAAGATCCCTCTGGTACTTCTTGAGAAATAGCGATAACAAACTTTCACTATCAAAATCCAAGACGGCTGCCTGTCGGCCATGTTGTTTATTTGATCAGTCTCAATAGTTGCCCTGCACAGCTAAGGACCAAGGGGAACCT